TGATTTGTGGCTTTCAAAATAGTTCGAAGAAATGGAAGAGGTTCAGCAGACATATCGGGAAGACCACTGACAACATCGTCTGCAGCTTCGAAGCTCCATCCATGTACATTTCGTTGAACCAGGTTTGCCCTTAAAAAAAGTTCCTGATAAGGATACGGTAAAGAAATGATGGATGTCTTTATAACTATATCCCCCTTTTGTAGGGGGGAGGGGAGGGGGGCTTAGGGGTTTGGAGATTTGTTACTAGGTTATAAAACTCTGATATGCTTAACTGGTTGATATATTTCTTTATAGGAGGGATATTGTTTACAAGGTACCCGAGGGGGGGGGGGGGTATACTTGAAGATATCCGAAATGATACTATATCAGATGTTCATAATGTTTCTAAGCGACATAAAACTTCGATTGCGTTATCTTCTTCTAAATAACTAAAAATTTTGAGCACAATTCGTTGTTCGTCCGCTGATCTGATGACTAAACTTGAAGTCGGCTTCTATTTAAAATTTAAAAACTCAAATTTTCCTAGCAAGTTTGTTTTGGCTCATTTCAATGCTCCGGCACCTCCATTTCATTGTTTTCGGCACCCTTTTTTCGAGCTTTTCGGAACTCCGAGAGAACAAAAACCCTACAAAAAGTAGGTATTGAATTAGTTTTTCACATATGTTTTTTTTCGTACTTAACACTTGTTTTTATAATCTCTAACCCTCGATTTTCAACGTTGATAAGGATGAATCATCTTGAAGCAAATGATTTTTTACATTACGAGACAACACATCTCAGCTTTTTCAACTTTTTCCGCTCTACTGGTAAGATATTAGTCTTTTTGATAAAATCAACATTCAGTATTTCTAAGAAAAATGAAACGACATGAAATGTTTTTACAAAATAGCCTGAAAGTGGCACCACGTCAATTTTTGGCCTTCAATAAGCCTTCATATTGGCATTTTAGACAATTTCGACAGCGCCGAAAATAATTTTTCCTGGTGATGACAAGGGCTTTGACACTTCGCGAAATCGTGATTACGAATTATGACCTCTGTTCAATTTTCTAATTTGAAGGCAGTTGTATGATGCATGTTTACTCACTCATTAGGATAGGGAATGCCTCACTCCTAATTCCGAATCCGCCGGCGCTGAAGGGCTGCACTATGACGTAATACCTCTGTCCAGGCACCAATCCCTTGATGATCAGCTCCTCTTCGTTCTGAGCGTCCCGGTACCAGTCCTTGTATAAACTCTTGTTGTCCTTCAGTCCCGCTTCCCAGTAGAACACCTAGAACCAAAAAAAACTACAGTTTTTTTTTCAATTCACGTTTTGCGAGATTGAAAATTCGTAGTTAGAGAATCATTGAATCATTGCAGATTGATGAACTCAAGATATTTTAAGCTAAGAAAATAATATCAACTCATACTGTTCGTCTGTTCATTATACAGACTCTTTTGACTTTTGAGACGATTTAAGTTGCAAGACCCATTTTAATTGTTTGATACATCTATAAAATCTCAACAAGTTTTGCTGAAAAAAATAAACAATGTGTAAGGCCCTTTATCTTGTTGAAAATAATGAGAGCGCTAAAACTGCAAGAAACGTTGCAGTCGAATTCGGACTAATTTGCAAGGAGTTAGAGAAAAAGAATTATATCATCAGCTGCTTTCCTTACCCGGTAGCCTTCCAGCTGCGCCTGGCGATCTAACACTTTAATGGGAGACCACATGACCCGAATTGAATCATCACCCTTGTACGAATAGACTCGCACGTCCTTTGGTTTTTCACTCGGCTGTGCCATGTTTGTTTCCCCGAACAAGAACTTCGACGGAGGTCCCAAACCCCCCGCATTCACAGCTCGCACTCTGAACTTATAATTCATCGCCGGTTGCAAATCGAACACGTTTACTTCTTGCATCCGCGTGGCGTTTCCCTTCGATAACTCGAATTTGTAACTCAGTACATTATAAATTTCTTCGATGTGCTTGTAGTATTCAACTTGATACCCGACAAATGTCGGTTCCCTCGTAACGTCGATTCCCTTGAACGTGATCATTACTGAAGAGCCAGAGGGTTGGTTTAATCTTCACATTTGAAACAGCCTGATCAGGAGCTGAAACAGTTTTCAAGGTCAAATTTGAAACTCAAAACTCTGCAAAACTATAAAAATGAGCCACTCAGGTAGCACAAAAAAATTCATTTTTAATATAAAACCAATTTTTTTATTTTAAAACTATTCTAAGAAACTTTCGCCATTTTTGGCGAAATTGCTCTGCTCAAATAATGCAAAAATGAGGCGTTTTTGTGGTAAAATTTGGAGCCCAATAATGTCTACATAAATTCACATGTGTCTACATACATTCTGTTGATATTCTAAGCAAAGTTTGTCTTGATCTTTTTTTCGCTGAAATCAACCCAATTTGAGAAAAACGCATTTTAAATTTCAATTTAAATCAGCACTGTATTGCATATGATAAACTCAACAGTGATAGTGAAAATTTTGCAATAACAACAAAAGTAATGTCAGCCAAATTTCAAATAATCTGTTTGTTGAAGTATTGCTGTCGGTATTTCAAGCTCTATTTTGTTCAGACAATTTATCCACAAGCAAAACATGGAGAAGACAAAACATGGAGAAGAAATGAAGAAAACTTTCAGAAAATATCGAGAAAAAAAACCTGAAAAAACTGAGAAATCAATGAGAAAACATCAAGAAAAGATGGAGAATCTATTGAGGAAACATCGAGAAAGTGCTGAGAAACAATTGAAAAGAAATCGAGAAAACATTGAGAAAGTTTCAAGAAAACATCAAGAAAACATAGAGATAACATGAAAAAAACTTCGCTAACACATCAGAAAACACAGAAAAATAACAAAAAACTCTTAAAAGCATCAGAAAAACATCTAGAAAACATTGAGAAAACGCCGAGAAAACATCGAGAAGAAATCGAGAAAAATATTGAGAAAAACAACAAAAGAAAACGCCGAGAGTTAATAAAGAAATCATAACATCAAGAAACCACTGAATAAACATCAAAAAACATAAGGAAAACCTTGAACAAACATCGAGAAAGTGTAGGTAGAAAAAAAATTGAGAAACAATTGAAAAAACATTGAGACAACTTCAGAAAACATTGAGAAAACAATGAGAAAAAATTGAGAACAAATGAAAAAAAAACACAGAAAACATCGAAAAAATCAAGAGAACATTGAGATAAAATTGAGAAAAAAAATAGTGAAACATCTAGAAAACAATGAGAAACTGCCGAGAAGCATTCGATAAAACACTAAAAAATTAACGAGAAAACATTGAAAAAACATCAAGAAAAAATTGATAAAACTTTGATAAAACACTGTGAAAACAATCGAGCAAACATTAAAAAGCAATGAAAAAAAACATTGAAAAATATTGAAAAACATCAAAAAAACAACAAAAAGACATCAGAAAAACTTCAAAAAAAACGTCCTACAATTCAATACCATGCAATTTAACACCGTACGTTTTGACCTAGTCGTTTCACTACTGAACAGTTTCAATCCACAACCATTTAACTCTTATTTTAGAACTTTTTACCATAACTGATGCAGTATGAACGCTTTATCTTAAATCCTATCACACCAAAAATGATCCTGCAAATAACGCACGCATCACATTAAAAATCTTGGTTTGTCTCTGTTATACATGCTAAAATAAGGCTTCATAATTTACTTAAGACTCTTGTCGACAAAATCGTAATTGATCTTTATTTAATTGTTTCACTAGACCACTATGACTATTAAAAACTGTGCTTCATTCAAAACATTAGGATGAACACTTCTGTTAAAGTTATCATTCTGGCACTCATTTAAAGCTTAACTCAAGTTGTAAGCAATTGCAACGAACGAAAGCAAATAATGATTGAATCTTATTTCAATTTCACAGTTTTATCTAAAAACAAGCCAAATCTTAAAGCGTCGGGTCACGAAAACTATTTTGAACAAAAAAATTTGCCAAAAACTGGATTTACTCTAAATACCAAAACATAAAATTCGAGCATTTTTCATTACAGAATGTAACGAAATGATCGTGACGCGTAGAGAACAAAATCATGACATTTCAGTGGTGAAAATCAAATACCCGAAAAGTGATCAAGTTTTTAAAAGAATTCACCCAAAGATATACACCGAATGAAGCCTTTGCCAGTGCGATTTGCCCATAACTAATGAGTTGTGTCTATATTTTGGGTCTGCCTATATAAAAAGCATGATGCCAAACTGTTAAGTCTTATTCTCACCCTCCCTTTGGAACCGGCAAGATGCGGCCGCGACCAGCGAATGGGACTGCCAGGACAACAAATGCTGTCGAAGGATGGCATTTCGGCATCTGATCATAATTTAACGGAGCCCGCCATAACATGTAAAAAGCGATGAGCAGCCTTCAGAAAAACGCCTCCGTACAAAAACTAGGTTTTTTTCCTTTAACGAAGACAAAAATGATTTTAATTTGATGTCCGTTCTGAAATTATCTCACTTTACATTACCATGACAAAATTGATCTGTATATTTTCAGAACTCCATCTATCCCGGGCCAAACCAGTGTAAATTTTGTCATATTTTTGTTGGATTTATTCAAACTTGAACATTCAAGTTTTAACCCTATTTCATTTTTTTCAGCTGTTTTTGAAAAGACTTTTCTTGCAGACTCCCAGAAAGCGTACTAAACGCAAGAATTTGACTCGTGACTAGTAATTCAATACCAGAACAATAGCTTTTTTCTTCGGAATGCTAGGTTGGGACTAGCGGCTGGCAACTTCTTTAGCTTTGCGTTTATGTGCCAACATTTCAAAAAAAGTTGAATAAAGCGATCGTGTTATAAGTTCAAGCTCGAGAATGATTTGAAAATTGATTTATTTTTTTATAGCTTTTTGACACTATTAGAAACGTTGCTTTCAGCAGCGGCTAAAAATTGTTTGAAAATCACGCCAATTTTAGTCAAAGAACGTTTAATTATATGCCGTTCCTTGAAGTTCGTTGAAAGGTTGCTCATTTTTTGTTCAAATCATTTTAACAACCCAAATTATCGGCAAGGTCATTTCTATTCCAAACTTACGCAAATTAAGTAGTACGAAAATGTCATGGATAAAATTTTCTTGCTTCATTTTTTGATTACCGAAATCCGTTTTGAAGTAAGTTCTCTTTTCATTATAGAAGTTAATTATAAAAATAGTTTTAAAATGTATGGCAACAAAAAGTACGGAGTAAAACTGTATGGTGTTCAGTTGTTTAGAGTTTAAAAGGTGGTAACCCAGAAAACATCGAGAAAGAAAAGTGAAATTTCAAAAATCAGAGTCAACATACCCAAAGGTACTTCTTTCACTCTCACAATGGGCGACTTTGGACCCGCGCCGATCTTGTTCGCAATTTCAATCTGAACATCGAACTCCTGCAGATTGTTCCGACTCCCAAGGGGACTACCCCCCACAGCGAAAGAATTGGTCCTAAGTTCGATTGTAATCTGGGTCTGGAAGGGGGACCTCATCATCTCCATCTGGAAGTTGGAGTTCGATCCAGTCTCTCTATAGTACACGTTGAAGAAGCAGTTGTCTGCTCCAAACTGGTCAATTCGCACATGCTAAACGCAGGATACGAGCTTTTTTCAGAGAACCACTGTTGTTCCCCTATTTATGAATTAATTACATTTCATTTTTTTGTTATATTTTGGTTATGATTATTTTCTTCGAGGCTTGGTATGACGAAGCTTGGTAGCTAGGTGATATACGCTTTTTTTGTGAATATATGCTCAAACTCAATGAATTCAAATAATTGATAAAAGAAACATACCCCTCTTCTAAAAATAGAAAAGGTTATAATCCATCTTAGGTAACCAAGTTAACATCCCCTCCCCCAAAGGGGATGATGTAGGACTTCTCGAGGAGAGGTGTGGGGGGGGGGGGGGGCAAATTGATCTTCCAAGCTCTCTCAAATCAATTTTTTTTACTAATGCGTTTTTTTCGGCGCGCCCTTTTTTCTCAAAATTAGTATATATTGGAGTCGAGGGCGCCTTAGAAAATTTTAGTATCGGTCAGCCAAAAATGGATGTCTTAAAATAGTACCAAAGGGGGGATCTTTTGGGTCGTCAAGGGGTCGATCGCATCCCTCAGGAAGAAGGCTACCGCTAACCCTCCCCTTCCCCCTCCCCCTAAATTCACTACTGGGTTAGGGGGGCAAAAAGTTGGTCTCAAATACTTTGTCGTGTTTGTACTCACATCAAAGGCCACAGCCAACAATCGTTTAGTCGCCGCCCGCAAAGCATGACCTGCTCGGATATTTTTGACTACCATCTTCGGTCGGGACTGGGGAATGACCAGATCTTCAGTTGGGGGACTGGGTGGACTTGGGCCAATCGCATTTACTGAGACTACTTTAAAGCGCATTGTGTTGTAACCGACAATAAAATTAGACAAGTTCATTCGCCTTGCTTCTGGTCCCGCTTCTGGATTAAAAAAAAACAGGTCGTAGTTTCGAGATATACATTTTTTCAAGATAAGTTTTTTGAAACTAACGGAATTAATTAGAGAAAATTTGTTCCTACCAGCGATCTTAACGAATCCTTTTGGAGCCTTCGAAACCGCTTCGATGGGCCAAAAAGGGTCCGGTTGTAGGTAAGTTTTGTCCTGGGGCCATGGCTGCATCAGTGGTGGAATCGGGTAGAGTGGAAGCGTTTCGGCCAGTATCAAGAACTTCTCAATTTTGAGCACTTCGTCGTCATTCGGTCGACCGGGATTGCCCCATGACAGCACGAGTGAGTTCGTGTCAAAGAGCACATTAAGCGGCTCGGGGGGCGTGTCTGAAACAATTGAGGGCTCTTTTCCACACCCCCGCCCCACAGTTCATTTTTTCAATTTTCTCAATTGTCTTACCTGCTAATAAGGCTGTTTCATATTGTCTTACCTGCTAATAAGGCTGTTTCACAAAAATTAAGTTGTTCGCAAACCAAACTTTTAAATTTTTAATACATAATGACATTGTTGAAAGAATTTTTCTAATCTGAAGTTCAAATGAGGGGAGAACGTAGAAAAGAGCCCAATTGGGTTCTGACAAAGAATAGAAAGGGCTTTCCCATTAGCCCTTAACCCCCCCCCCCCAACTTGGCCTCGCTCCACCTCGCCTGGCCCTGTCTAGCCCCTTCTGGCCCAGCCCTGCCTTGCCCTTCTCGCCAGGCCGTACATTGCCTTACCTTGCCACCCCCGTTTAGTGACAAAATATATGCACCCCCTACACAGTGATTTTATCATTATGAGGGGGGGCTATAACTTTGTGGGGGAGGGGGGGGGGCTTATTTTGAGAAAGACCAAAACAGAAGGATATGGTAAAACCAATTAATTTACCACAATGACATTAACGACCAATCATATTAACACATTGGAACATGTGACGAAGATCGCAAATTGTAGGCTAAAACTGACCCGAAATTTCTCAAAATCTGTTATACGATGCAGAAAACTTCAGTAACCCAAAACCTCTTTGGTTTTCGGAAAAAGTTTGAAAAATCAAAATACATAGATAAAAGTGTCAAATAGTTTTAAATATTTTTTGAGTTTTTGCTTGATTGACCTCAGCAAATTATAGTCTTAGCTCCCGCCTTTCACCATACTGCAAAAAAAAAACAAAAAGCAGTGGTGCTAGAACTTTTAATTTTAGGTTTGGGCGCTGGCTATTATGGAGAATAGGGCACTTTTGAATCCCTCATTTCAAGTTTCTTGTTGTTGGTTGCCATCAGGGGCGGATTTAAGATTTTCTCGAGGGGGGGGCGGATTTTTAAAAATTTTTGAAAATTTTGTCGACTTTTTTTAGGTTGACCAAAAAAAAGTTGACAAAATTTTGACAAAAAATGGCGTTTTTTTTCGCCGCGCGCTCCCCTTTGAAATTAAAATATATTGGCGCCGAAGACGCCTCTAGAAAAACTTTACGGTTGGTTGGCCTAAAATGTATATCATAAAATAATACCAAAGAGGGGACCCTTTGGTTGGTGAGGGGGTCCAATCCTTGAGAGGAGAAGGCGTCTGATCCACCGCCCCCTCAAGCCCCTCCCCTAAATGCGCTCCTGGTTGCCCTTAAGTGATGAGTGGTGGCGAGGTGAGGGGAGGGGGAGGTTTGATTGTGATTGACTGACCTATGACAGACACGTGGACCTCTTTGCATGTCTGTCCGTAGAGAGTGGCGTAGCAGCACTTGTGTGTTCCCTGCTGCCACTGTTGGGGTCTGAACAGTCTCAGAGTCCCATTCTTCACCCCGTCACTTACCTGGAAAAGTGTTGCACATAACAACATGTGTTATTTTTTCCAACTACATGTATTATTATTTATTCATGAACTGGACTGAGTTCTTTTTTTAAAGCTGATTGTTTAAAAAAATAAATTTGATGAATGCGGAGGAATTCATTGATAAATATTACGAATCGTTTGAATAGAATGGCCACTAATACTACAAGCCTGTTTGCATTCTGATTATTTCTTGAAAAAATCGACTCTTTATTTTTTTTCCTTTTTTTAAATTAGACCAATGGGTTTTTACTCACCTATAAATGTCAATCATATTTTGTGAGATGTAAGCGGATCCTGCAACAAGATAAAAACAGATGTGTCGCAGAATCAGCTACATGGCTATTGTTGTTCATCTTTTTGCTTTTTGTTCCTACTTTTGTAACGAAAGTAATTGTTCCGACTTTCGTAACGAAAGTAACGGAATATTTGTACTCGGCGTGGGTTTTTTTTTCAGACAAACTTCGACTTTTTAACAAGCCATTTGACGGATTTTTTTTTTAAATCCTTCGAAAGGTACTGTTTTCCTGAGCTGATGTTTGAAAAGATGTTTAACCTGTGATCATTTTTCACAAAGTTATGGGGATTTAAAGAATGCCATTTTGGCCAATTTGGGACAATTAACGCGCGATATATTTCGCGCTATTAACGCGTAAGCGGAGATTTAATCCGTCTTAGAAAGAATGGTTACAGAAGCTTATTTGCCAAATTGATTTCTTAATGGGAGCAAAATCTATCACTTTTTACTTTATATGGCGCGTGTGGGGAGATAACTTTCACAAAAATCCCAATTTAAAATAAATTTCGTTTCATTTTATTACAATTAATTTGTTTCATGATATTACTGCTCAATAGACCTTTCACGGCGACCGGAACATCTAGGGCTTCGCCCCTTACGAGCAGTCTTGTTTTGATTTTAAAAACAAATAGCTAAACTGATATATGCTCAAAATTGCTGCAAAAGCAGCCAAATGTGCGGAAAGTGGGACAAAGTTTGCGGAATTCATAACTAAATGTGTATTTCTTATATTATAAATTACACTTTTGAAAAAACTCGCTCATAATTGCGGAATCCACATACATCATTACATTATACATTGAAACTTTAAGAATCGGGTGACATTGCATTGACCAAAATGCTGTTCATACAAATTCCAATTGTTTTTGTAAGAATTGAAAATTGCATAAAAGGTCTATGACACGCTTTTTTATATAGAATAAGTATGACCAGCAATTTTTTTAGGTGTTAGTTATTCTTACTTTTTCTATGGTTGCGTTTGCAACCAAAAACAGTTGACAAAGACCAAGGTTCCTCAAAACTTGAATTTACACCGTCTTGAATTAGAATATGTTGTTTGAACGAAATGATGAAAATCTGAAATTTCTTAAGCTTTGATTCGCTGCCTACGGCGCATAACATTAAACAAAATAAAGGCAAATTGTTTCTGAAAACTTTGCTAATTGACTAGCATTTTGACAAAACTTCAACATTCGGATTTCAAATGATCAAGAACCAGTCCTTGATGCCCCCCGAAGCTTAAAAACATAACTGATACTTTGATAAACGTAACTCTCAAATTGAATAAAATTAAAAAAAACGGAAAACAATTGATTTCAAGGAGAATTTTAGAAAACAAAACCTTTTTATCAACTGAATAGACAAAAAAAATCGACTCAATTGATAAAAATAGAAAAAGTTAATTTGAAAGTTTCGAGTCAATCGATAAAAGTATAAAATTTTCACTTTAAAGTGTGCCTTTTTTGTAGACCAAACATTTTATGGCAGGCTTAAGTTTTCAATTTTTGTAAGAAAGAAAATATTTTTGTTTGATGATCAGAAAATGGCACTTTTGATCGACACAATGTCAAATTTTGATTTAAAAGCAATTTTTATTGTTACTTTTGTATCTTTTGACTCAATACTCTGGGTCTAGTTCCTGTTTGACTATAAGGATCCAATTAGGAAAAAATTGTGACACAAAACTTCTCAAAATAAATTGCACCACACTAGTTTATTTTCATCCATTTTTTCAAATTTTAATCCACTTTGAGAAAAAGTGTTTCAAAATTTAAGTTTTACTCGTTTCAACTTGATAATTGAAATCAGCACTGAACAAAAATTTAGATTTTTTGAAAAGAAAAGGATAGAAAATAACCTTTTTTAATTTTTGTTATTTTTATTCACACTCACCATTTTGTAATTGAGTACTTCTCTAATTCTGAACTGGCGAGAGCTTTGGTATTGTTCCAGCTTTCGGAGAAAGTAACGGAATATTTCTGCTCGAGTGGTTTTTTTTCGACAAGTTTCACTTTTTGACGGATTTTTTCTTCAGTCGAAACATGTTATTGTCTCTCATGCTCACATTTCAAAAGTTGGTTTAGCAGTGGTTACTTTTTAAAATTTATGGGAAGATAAAAATAGCCAAATTGGCCTATTAGGGATATAAAGCGCGCGTTATATTTCAGGCAAATAATGTGAAAGCGGATATATAATCCTTCTTCGAAATCGTTCAAAAACTAATTGAGGATTTATTTTTGGCGAATACGCCATTAAGACTGCTCTACCAGAGCGAAACCTTGAATGTTTTTACTGCCTTTAAAGCTCTCTGGAGCAATTCATACTTTTTTTATCTTGTTAATTTTTTTTTGGAGATTTTGAGAAAATGATATATCCAGCAGTTAGCAAAACCTTAGATTGACCAAAAAGCATGCCTCATTTCAGTTTGAAACAATTTCCAAGACGGATTAAATCAGTTAAATTAGATACAAGCTCAAAACTTGCCAGCAGAAAAAAAATCATTCCAGTACTTTCCTCGAAAATCGAAACTAAATATATCATCACTTTGTACTTAGCATAGCTTGTTTTCAATTTTTTAAAAGCAAATTCATTTTTTAAAGTTTTTCGAAAATTTTATCCATTCTCAAAGCAAGCACTACTCTATAGAGCTTTAAAAAGAAGCCGGAACATTCAGGGCTCTGCACAGATACAAAAAGTTTTGCACTGATACAAAATCTTATTTTCATATAACTCACCATTATGTAATGGAGCCCCTCTCTGTTTCTGAGCAGTTTTGTTATTGTTATAAAACTCACCATTATGTAATGAAGATTATCTCTGTTTCTGAACAGCGGGGACTCGATGTACCAGGAAAGGAATGTCCCGTAGTATCTCAAGATGGTGTCAGCCTCCTCCTTCAGCTCCTGTTGGAACTGCTCGCTGCTCTTGTACGGATTGAAGGGATCCCACTTCCGCAACTCAAGCCACTCCGCTTCGCTCTGTACACTTCGGCGAGTATAAGCATCATTCCACGAGAACTTTCCGGGTCCCGTAGGAGGATAGAAAGGGTTTTCACGGGAAGATGAAGCGAAAAAGTATGGGAAGTTCCCGGACATTGCAAATTTCATGTCTTTTTGGATCTTCGTGGCAAAGTCTTGGGTTCCAAAGATAGAATCCAAACGTCTGTAGTGCCTAAAAAATATTTACAATTACGCTCAATGTATATATTTTTTAAGTTTTTTTTTCAAAAACCTAACTTTTTTTTAGAAACATGCAACTCCCGTTACTTATTGGATCAATTTTACAAAAAAAATCGAATCCAAACATTTTTTTATTCTAATTGAGAGTTAGCAGACGTATCAAAGGAAGTGAGAACTAATTAAAGGAGTGGCAATCACCTCAAAACCAACAAAAAATAGGACACAACCACCAAAGTCCGATTGACTTAAAAGAAAAGAGTTACTGCTCGATGGGGACGATGGATCGGTTTGGACTGGGACTGATTTGGACTCCATTGAGGAACCAGAGGAACTTCCCCTCGTTCGAATTCTCGGAGGCCAGCTCACACTTGATGTCCACACTTCTGTTCACGCGAGTGATCAGCGGAGTCGTGTCCATCTGCACGTTCACACGGGCTGCACGAAAAAAAAACATAATGAATAAAATCATTTTTATTTCTATTTCAAACCATTTGTTCACATGGGAGCAGACCAAAACACGACTCACTGGACTTATCACGAAAAGACAACGTTTTAGTGCCGCTGATTAAACACTGCATGTATTTTTAAGGGAAAAAAAGCTTGAATAATTTCATAATCTTAAGTGAATTTCATTGAAAGAACTTCATTGAATTATCAACAAGTTTAAACAGCCAGAAGTCATATTCTTATGGGACCTTCTAATCCATTTCGTACATTTTCAATGTACTAACATCAGGGCCATTTTGAGTGGTTCAATGAAAGCAACATCGGCAATTGGTAAATGAACGTGTGTATAAATTTGCTTAAAAGAAAAAAAGTTTTTTTTTGCCCTAACTTTCAATTTTCGCGAACGCATCATGGTTAATTAAAACTTTAAACTTGATTAAGAACAAAAACTTTGTGAATAGTTCTTTGCGAAGTTTTTGGTACCGATTACGAATCAACAGATGTTTATCATTTCGACGTTTCTGAAAACATTATCGAAGGAAAACAAAACTAAATTAAAATTTTCATCATGGTCGAGATTGAAATGCATATAATAATCATAATAGTTTGTGTTCAGGCAAAAATTATACAAAAAATGACCAAAGTAATTTTCCAACTGCCTGGGAGACAACCATTAGATCAGGTCCGTTTTGTCTCGGAGCAGAAAAGTTTGATACTATAATTATCGCTATGAATTGAGAACACCGTTTCTTCACCACTTTTAATTAATTTCTCAAAATCATTTAAATAAATCACTGAACAAAAAGAAATAGGCGTGTACGAACAAAAATGAAAAAAGTAACTAGAAAAATAGAAAATCGAAAAACTAAAGAAATTAAAAATATATTTTTCTAACTAAGTCTTCGTCGCCTATGATGTAGCGGCATTCCCAATAAATGTGGTGGAATATAATCTAAAAAAAAAGCTCTAATCCAATAACTTGCAGAGCTGAAACAAGGATAGCTGTTTACTGTGGAATAAGCACAGAATATTCCGATCATAGTCTTAAAAAACAGCTTTTTTTTCAAATTAGTGTTGGTTTTTTTTTCGGCGTGGTGTGATAAAAGGAACTGAACGAAAAATTAGAGTTCAAGCATAATCTATACTCAAAATGAAATATGCAAATTGGAAAGCCTTTTTGTACAAAAACAACGAGAAAAACAAAAAAAATTCGAGAAAAAATTCAAATGTTTTTTTTTTCAATTTTTTTTTGCAGTTTTTTGAATTTTTGATTCTAAAACGCGCAAAAAACGCAACTTAACTGGATTGAAACTAAGTTTTACGGGTTCAATTAACAGTCATTTAATTTTTACGATCATTAAAAAAAGCAATTGTAAGCCTGCTCGCTTCCTTTATTCGCTCGTCGAATCAAGAGGAAAAATCAAAAACTTCAAACCGGTTTTTCTCGACAGTGCGAAAATTTTCGCTAAACTTTTAAATATTGTTCAAATCACGACTGAGAGAGTTTTAATAAGATATATTACTCAAATCTCTCCTACGATTATTTGTGGTAGCTGTTATTGCGTGAAAAACAAAAAAAAAACCTATAACATGCGAAAACAAAGTTCCTCCCCATTTTTTAAATGGTCGGAACAATCATCAACCTAGTAAAGTAAAAGATATGATTTTCTAGTTCTGGTTTTTGCAATGAACGAAAATTGCATGATCGGCGAGCAATTATTCTGCACTGGTACCCAATTACCTGCTGATTTCCACAACGGCAAGCGGTAAAAAAAATTTTTAAAAAATTCTTACAAATTTAGGAATGACATGTTTTATTTTCTAGTGACAAAAATTAGCACAAATCAAGAAAACAAACGTCTTTCAGATTGAAAAAAATTATTGTTGAGACCATTATTGATTTTTTTAATTTATAAAAAGCCCTGAAAAGAGTGGGGAAAAATACCAATACTGTAAATGAATTAACAAAGAGGTTAAAAAATTGAAAAAACTAATTTTGATAAGAAAATGGCAGAAAACAAAATCTGACAACCAGTTGGCAATTGTTTTTTCGTAGATACGAACCGAAGTCAGCCATTAGCATTGGTAACAATTGTTATGAAAAAATAACAAATTCAAATTCTACGTTCAAAAATTCACTTAATGTTGTGGCTAATCAAATCCTAATTGTTTCAGTGTTGATGTTCTATGCTTTACTGGTTAGATGACAGAATTAATTTACAGCTCAATTAGCAAATTGCTCAGTAGATTGAGAAAAAAAATTTTTTTTAAAAACATTTAATTATATACAATAATAAAACAAACGAAATTAACAAAATTGAGTCCTCGTTTTTTTGAGATCTATCTGTCAATGTCAATCTTTTGTAAAAGTGATTACTTTTTTAATATCATCTAATAATTTCACACAATCTGGTTCAAAAGTTCTGTTAAAATCTGTTTCAAGTAGTATCAATGCCAAAAATTTCTTGCGTTTTCAAATGAAAACTATGTGCCAGTTTTTGGCTATAAATACTCGGATATCAAAAAAACTCAACCAAACAAAAAAAAACTTGATATATTTGTTAAGACTGCAATTGGTTTGTTTTTGGTTGTTGACGTGGAGCTGATAATTTTGAACTTTCAGATTTTAGACGAAATTTTTAAACGATTTCAAAAAAGAGTATAATGTGGCTTCATTTGAAGAGCAGTTTTTCTCGCTAGCTGGTTTTCTCGCCATTCTCGCCGACAAACTGTACAATAAAATTATGTCTATATGTGCTGTGGAGAATGGTAGAGGACACTGCGAGAAAAACTCCTCTTCAAAAGAAGCCACATAATACTCCTTTTTGAAATCGTTTTAAAAATTCGTCTAAATTCTAAAACGCAAAACTATCAGCTCCACTTCATCAACCAAAGAAAAACTAATCGATGTTTTAACAAATCTATAAAGTTTTTTATTTGCTTGAGTTTTTTTGATATCAGGGAAATTCTAGTCAAAAACTGGCACATAGGTGTCGTTTGACAACGCAGGAAATTTTAATAGTCATTGATACTTCTTGAAGTAGATTTTAACAGACCTTTTGAATTGGATTGTTTGAAATTATTAAATGGTAATAAAAAACTTACCAGTTTTAGAAGAGATTGTCTTTGACAGATTTGCCGCAAAAAATCGAAGACTCAATTTTGTTTAACTTCGTTTATTTTATTATTGTATATAAATTAATGTTTTTGTCAAATTTTTCTCAATCTGCTGAACAATTTGCTAACTGAGCTGTAAGTTAACTCTGTTATCTAACCAGTAAAGAATAGAACATCAACACTAAACGCATCAGGTTTTAATTAGCCACAACATTAAGTGAATTTTTTGAAGGTAGAAACTGAATTTGTTATTTTTTCACAACAATTTTTACCAATGCTAATAGCGGACTGCGGTTCGTATATAAAAAAAATTGTAAATGAGGAAAAAATGCGTTTTTAATTGGATAGTTCAACAGCATGACAATTTGTTTAACAAGTGTTCGGCGTGAGGAACAGTTGAAACTGAAGTTATTTTAAATTCAGGTGGGCGATTGATGGTAGAAAAATACCGCTCGCCTGATGTATTTGCGGTTCATGTAATTATGCATAAGTTGTTCATTCGTTTGCATACCTTCCAAAAATATTAAATCAAAATGCAAATGCAATTTCAATGACTAAAGATCAGTTGGCTGAATAGGCCGTTTAGGGGGGGGGGGATGTTGTTAATTTTTCATTTTAAATTCGAATTTTCAGCCAATCACAATAGAGCATTTTATGTGCAGCTCTTAGCGAATTTAATTTAAATTGAACGCTGGGATGGAGGATGGAGGGTCTTAACTTGGTCTATTTTGATTTTTTTGGGGGGGGGGATATTAACTTGATATGATGAATATTTAGAGATGGAAAGTGTCTGAAAATGATGACCAAGGGATGCAGAGTGTATGACTCACGTATGACCGCTACTTCGAAGTTCATGGCTTTGCTGTTTCCTCCCCCTTGAGCTAGACACTTGTAGTCTCCAGTATCCGCACCTGTCACCTGCAGTCCATTCATCAGTACAGTAGTATAAAATTGCCAGACAAAAAATTGAAACCTAAGTCGTTCGTTTGTACAGGCTTCCATAGTTAAACCAAATAATCCAGAACAACTTTAAATTAACTGCATTAGTGTCTTGTAATATTAATATCAAAATACAGTTAACTTATTAAAACTAATAATCATCACATATTGTTTTCAGGTTTATGATAAAAAAAATACAAAATTTTGCACAATTTACAGCTCATGTCAATTGTACAACTCATAATAATTGCAATTAAACAACCGAACGAAACCTTCAGATTGCGAAGAAAAAATCGAAGTATGTTTTAGTATAACTGTTTGATTAGTAGAGTTTAATTTGCACACCTGTTTGATGTGCAGAGTACCATCTAGCCACATCTGGTACTTGGAGCTGTTCTGGATAATCTGACTTTCGAAGCTCCAGCTAAACACGGGTACCGGAATGGCGAAGGGCCTGCAGAGAATCTTTCCGTCGTATCCCTCCTCAAACACCAGGCCCCCGTCCACTCGGAAATCGAACTGAGATACAAAGATAGGCTCCACGTCTAAATACAGTTAACGCATCTCATCACCTACCCCCCCCCCCCCCCACCCTTTTGCAAAAGGGGGGAGATTCGTTACTAGGTACTAGATACAAAGTTCGCATACTCTTAACCGTTCAATTATTTCATTATAGGGGTGGCAATTCGTTACTATAAAGCAAAAGGGGGAAATAGTTAAAGATATCCCAGTTACCTTAGTAATGGCCAGGGGTGGATTTAGGAAACGGGTCGCCCCCACCCCCTGCCTACCCAAAAGGTCCCCTTTTGTACAATTTTGAGATATCCATTTTTGTCGGACTCTAACATTTTTCTAAAAGCGCCTCTGGCGCCAATATATACCGTTTTTTTTTGGGGGGGGGGGACGCGCAGAAAAAACGCAATTTTTGGTCAAAACTTTCAAAAACTGCCTGATAACGCCTTTTTTGGCACGTTTTTCCAAAAATTGAGTCTTTGTAGTGCTTTGGGAGAGCTCGGAAAATCAATTTGGTGAAAAAAAATTGACAAACAAAGTTTTCGAAAACTGTTTGAAAATCTGTCCCTCTTCGAGAAAATCCTAGACCCGACCCTGATCAAAATAGCAATCATAATAAAATTATTTAAACTTTCCAGTTTATGATCAGACGAACACATAGTTTTGTATGCTTTTCAATTGTACACACCAAATCTCAAGCCTGAGAGAACGTCATTAGACCAAAGGGTTATTTTTCAAACGTCTCTCATAAAAATTAAACCTTCAAATCGCTTAAACCCATAAATGACTTCCAGCATCTGAATGGGTCAAAAGAAAGTGCCGCGAATTAATCCAGCTCAGAAGTCATTCCAAAGTAAATCGAGCCACGCTAACTAATCCAAATATTGTACAATCACTCTCGAATAGCGGGAAGCAACTATGGCGTAAATAACATTTTTATTTTTTTCTTAGCCAATATTGACTGCCTCAACCACCTCTCCTTTTAATGTATCATGTTGAAGCACTATAAATTTTACATTAAACAAAATTTCCGACTTTTTTAATAGTGAGAGGGAACCGAATTGATCAACAAACTATAATAATCAGTTGAAAATACCAAAAAAAAGAAAGCATTGAAGAATGATTGATAAAAACACAACGGTTAGATCAGAGACTGAAATAATCGAAACAAATATACCAGAAAAGCAATCATTTCAAAATTTATCTAATGGTTGATTTTCAGAGAAAATGACGGATCGAGCACCTTTGCTTCAGACAGTTGGAAAATTCAAGATGGTCGGAAAATTCAAAGAAGGAGAAAAACTTGTTTTCTATTTTTATCTTCCTTTTCACGAAACACTGTCTCACGCAACAATCCGACTTTTCAGAAATGTATCCTGACACCAGCAGACTTATTCCCATTTCTATCGGAAGTTTCTGCCTACTCATTTTCCCTGCTTTAAATTAAAAATCAAAATTGTAGTCTGAATTTCTCATACTGAATTACCTGTAGATTCGATTTCCTAGCCCCTTACCTCAACAAACATCAAATGGTGAAGCTAACTGACCGTCAACAATGACTTGCGCAGTTGTGAAAGAGTTGACGTATTTGTTGAATGCTTCACACTGATACATGCCAGAGTGTTCCTCCCGAATGATCTCGAACTCCAGTGCGTTCCCGTTCGGGCTCAAACCCGACCCCTGTCTTATGAGCTGTCCATTGAAGTACCACCTGTACGTCGGTGCTGGTTCTGCCATGGCCTGCAACAAGAATTGGTTACAAGGCACCAAAAGAGGAGAAGGATGGGGAGGGGTAGTTAAGTTAAAGAGATCTGAAATTTTAAAAAGCAAACCATTTGCCAGCAGTTTTCATGTTTCAAAAAAGAAAAAAAGAATAAATCATAATAAAATTTTATCATTTTGTTTGTCCAAAACTACATCAAAAACATTACAGCACACTCAAAGCTTTCAGCGTTTTACCTTGATTCAGGCAATATCAAAGAAGAAAATAATCTGACGAGCTTAAATGGGCAGTACAACTGTGCCGAAGTACAACAGTGCCGAAAAAGAATAAGTTTTCAACAGTGCCAAAAACTGATGATTTTCGGCACTGTTGAACAATAAAATTGTTTTCGGCACTGTTGTACTTCGTCACTGTTGAGATGCCTTTAGGGGGGGGGGGGGGGGGGGGGGCGTTTAACAGTGTCGAAGTACAAGAGTGCCGAAAATAAAATTATAGTTCAACAGTGCCGAAAATCATCAATTTTCGGCACTGTTGAACACTTTTTCATTTTTGGCACTGTTGTACTTCGGCACTGTTGAACGCCCCCGCTTAATTTGACTAGAATTTAAGAGAAGAAGCAAAAAACAAATCTGTTCGATCTAACCGAAAAACCTCTAACTATCCAAACTGTATATTGTATTCATAGAATGGCAACTTGCCTCGCAAGTCAAAGTGACTTGTTCTCCCGCTCTGGCTTGCAGATTCTGAAGTTTCTTCGTGATTTTAGGTGCCGCTAAAAAAATTATTCAATTTAACTTTTGGGTGCTTTTCCTAATTCCGCCCAAAATTGTTTCAACACATCAATAACTAATTGAACAAAATTTTACAATTATGCTTTAGCAGCACCCTAGATTTCAGTCAGTCACATTTAAAAAGACGCAAATTTTTCTTCAAAAGGAAAAAAATCTAAGTTTTTGATTTTTTTTCATATATTCTTTTAGATCGACCAATATTATTCCTTTGGTGCTGCGTGCGAATTCTTTCAGCACCCCGCCCCCTCTAAATTAAAACTAAATTAACTTTTAGTTACGCCCCAAGTTTTAGTAATGAACTGCATACCTGTGCAAAGTTATACGAAAACTGTCAATTTACCGAATACGTATAAGAACATTTTGATAGACGTCTCTCTGTCTCTGTTTCTCACTGTGCATTCGTACTCTCCGTTGTTGCTCAGTGTAGCTCCGATGATGTCCAGCTTAGCACCCCGGAAGCGGTAGAAAGTGTTAGATGCGGTCGGGTCCGGAACAGTCCAACTGTACGCCAGCAGATCATAACTGAAAAAAAATATTCTGTTATTTTTCATTTTTGCAAGTTTTTTAAAATCAGTTTTAGCTTTATATTGATTTCGCCCAAAGTTTGGTGTTGTTCTGAGCCTGCTGTTCAAAAAACTTGAATCTGATTAATAGGACTTCGGAAATAACTTCGAAACTAACAAACTTGATCTAATTATGAGCAAGCTCAATTTAATTTGCTTGTTTTTTTTCAAACTTGAGCCAAACACTTCAATTCAGTTGTTTTTCCTACCCTCCATCTGCAATACAGCTCATTGTGATGTTTTTAGTTGCCCGAATCTTGTACTCCGCATTCTGGCTGGGGAACTTGAACGAGAGGTCATTCATCGTCGGCAGATCCGTGCTCCTCCGGATGCTGACTGGGGGTCCGTACCTGAAGCCGTAGCCCTCTGACTGCTGTTCAAACTCTTTCTCGTTTTGCACGACACACCTGTACACTCGGTTCAGGTCGCTCGGACTCGGCTTAATCATGTAGAGGTTGCCGTTATTCTCGTCAACAATGAAGCGATCGTTTTCTTCGATCCACTCTTCGTCGTCAAGTAGAGTCCCGTTTGGCGCCAAGATTTGTCGTTTCCAGAAGTACTCCAGATCTAAAAACTATTTTTATTGCAGGAAAATTAAAAAGAAGTAATAGTCATAATCATCATAATCATCAGAGAAGCAATAGTCATAATCATCAGAGAAGTATTAGTCATAAACCATCATGAGTATTATGATAATGGTTTCTATGACTCGCACAGGATCCATCAAGAGGCTATCAAGCCTGTCTAAGCATAGTCCGTTTATCTTACTTCCCTACATTCCAGACCGAATGATTCTGTTATGACAAACTGTTTTTTTTGCGACTCAACGCTGTTTTTTTGCCTTTAGATTTTTTAGCGGTACCGTGATTAGGCCAAAACTGGCCATGCTGTGGTTGTTCCGAAGGTAGAGGTCAAATGAGAGCTGGTCCTCACACACTATCATTGCCATGGCAGGGGATCGGTTGCAAGATCTGAGGATCTCCAAAGTGAACGCTGAACCAATACCCTTAAGTGCTAAATTTCTCTCAAAATGTTAAAAGATAGAAGATTTAAAAAAAATTGGATTATACAGATTTAATCCAGTATGGTTTGTGTGGTACTGTGTAGTACTGTTGCCACAGTAGCCTTGGAGAATTATTATTATTAATCTGTTATGTATTGTTATTATTTATTCAAGGCCAATCTTGCAGGCCTAATGCAACAGTCATTTGGACGGTTGCGAACTAAGAGAAAAGAACGATCAACATAGCATTAAAGACATAAAAAAGGTTGATATTCGCAGGAATCCTCGATCACAACAAATAAAGTCATTGAAAGCTTTGTTCAGAATTGATCATCAAATCATCAATATGACTATTGACTCAGGTAGTCCAGTATCGTTCTTAAATTGGGCGACAGCAAAACAAATTTTAGAGTCTTCTGAAAATACAAAGTTTATTCCACGGGAGAATCTAAATTTGTCCGCTCAATTTGTAGACTACAATAAACAGCCAAATAATTTTTTGGGAGCAATCACCACAATCATCCGCTCGGCAGGGTGGGAAGTAGTGGGGGCATCGTTTCTGATTACAGAACGACGCACAAGATGTATATTGGGGCTGGACTTATAGATCAAAGTGGGGATACACACAACACAGAAGATGGCACCAAAAGACAAGACGAGGTTTGATGTGCTACTGTGCAAACAGCCAGAAGGTTGGAAAAGCAAATTTTACAGTAAATTTAAAAACCTTTTTGATCGTCAGGGTTGTTCGAAAAATCATGTCGTCAGTACAAAGTTCAAATATCCACTTTGTCCCTTACAAGAAAAAGGGAGAAGGTTTCCAAAACACTTACAGGAAAAGGTGCATGAAGAAATGGAAAAACTGTTAAACGAAGTGCATATAAAACGTCTGGACAAATGTACTAGCGATTGTTTTATAGCACCTATTGTAATCACAGTAAAAAAAGATGATTCCATAAAATTGGCTCTAGATGTAAAACCTATCAACCGGCAGTTGTTTAAAAACAAATATCAAATGCCTTATGTTGATGAGTTATTGGATGGGGTCAGTCAAATAGTAACAGCAAATGCAAACGGTACGTTATATTTCTCAGTATTAGACTTGAACTCTAAATCATGCGAAATTACGTTCTGTTTCCCTGATGACATACTCATTGTATCTAAAACGACTGAACAAGAACATGAAAAATTGATTATGAACGTGTTGGAAAAATTAGACAAAGAAAACTTGGCATTAAAGCTGTCGAAATGTGAATTCTTTCAAAATGAGGTAAACTGGCTGGGGCACAAGTTATCGTTAGACGGTATTCCAACCAAAAATAACAAAAACGGAAGCGATATTGAAGCTCAGTCCGCCAAAATCATTGAAACAACTCAGGTCATTTATGGGTAGCATAAACCATTTGGCCAAATTCATTCCAAACGCGGCTAATTTAACTGAAAAAATACACATACAGGAAAAGGTGCATGAAAAAATGGAAAAACTGTTAAACGAAGTGCATATAAAACGTCTGGACAAATGTACTAGCGATTGTTTTATAGCATCTATTGTAATCACAGTAAAAAAAGATGATTCCATAAAATTGGCTCTAGTTGTAAAACCTATCAACCGGCAGTTGTTTAAAAACAAATATCAAATGCCGTATGATGATGAGTTATTGGATGGGGTCAGTCAAATAGTAACAGCAAATGCAAACGGTACGTTATATTTCTCAGTATTAGACTTGAAGTATGCGTACAGCCAATTAAATTTGACTGCAGAGACAGCTAAACAATGCAACTTTAACATCATAGGCGGACAATCCACTGGAACATACAGGTTTCTTACCGGATTTTATGGCCTTGGAGACATGCCAGCAGAGTTTCAAAAAGCTATGGATAGAACTCTAAATCATGCGAAATTACGTTCTGTTTCCTTGATGACATACTCATTGTATCTAAAGGGACTGAACAAGAACATGAAAAATTGATTATGAACATGTTGGAAAATTAGACAAAGAAAACTTGGCATTAAAGCTGTCGAAATAGGAATTCTTTCAAAGTGAGGTAAATTGGCTGGGGTACAAGTTATCGTTAGACGGTATTCCAATCAAAAATAACAAAAACGGAAGCGATATTGAAGCTCAGTCCGCCAAAATCATTGAAACAACTCAGGTCATTTATGGGTAGCATAAACCATTTGGCCAAACTCATTCCAAACGCGGCTAGTTTAACTAAAAAAAATTAAACCTCTTTTGCGAGAAGAGAACGAGAAAAAGAAACTGAAAAGTGTAAAAATTCAGGTTAAAAAATTCGAATGGGGGGAAGAACATTCGGAAAAATTCGAATTGATAAAAATAGCGGTTGCGAAAATAACCAAAATCCACTATTACGACTCTAAGATGGGTAAAAGAGTAAAATGTGACGCCTGCCATAGTGGGTCAGGCGCAACGTTGGAACAACAAAAAGCCGAGGCGGAGTGGGTATCAATCGCATTTGCGTCGAGATATTTGAACGTTCAAGAAAAGAAATAATCAACAAATGAGCTGGAACTGCTAGCAGTAGTATGGTCTGTTGATCGATTTAAACATTATCTGTTAGGGAAGGAATTCGTGATAGCCACAGATCATAAAGCGTTGGTTTCCGCTTTAGATGAAAATAGGTCAAACAAAACCTATCAATCTAGGCTGACTAGATGGGTAGATAGACTATTACCCTATCAATTTAAGGTTGTTCATATACCAGGAAAAGATATGGGTATAGTAGATTATTTGTCTAGAGACCCTAACGGCGAACCGTGGCCAGAGTCATTGTTGGATAAAAAATTTGTAGTCACATCGATAGAAAGCTTTCATAAAGCTCTCGACTGTTTACACAGTCGATTGAGAGATCACGATGGGCTCGACCGGAACGAAAACGTTCTAGAATATTCTGAAAATGATCAAAATGTGTCAAAAGAGAACACGTCATCCAACAGTTGCTATGGCAACCAAAACGGACCAAAACGAACAGAGCATGACCGGAACGATAGCGAAACAAGTTAACAAGTTCGCGATTGTTAAAACGAGAAAGTGGTGAAAAACCAGAAATCAGTTTATCTCAAAGTTGTCAGTCAATACAGTCGGTCGAAAAATTTAAAATAATTTAAGGAAAGTTATCATATCGAGAGCGTCTGAAGAAGAATAAAGAAATTTAAACAGGCGAAGCATCGAACAACGGAAAGGGGAGAAAAATGGTCAGAATACAGGAACGAAATAGCATTGATACGTTGAGGGAGTAAGTCACGGAAACAGCATTCCAAAGGACTAGGACGATACAGCGCACTCCAACTAAATCAGACTCAGACAATTCAGACTCAGACGAAATGCCACAGGTGGAATGGAGAGCAATGAACAGACAACTCCTGGCGAACACCGGAAACAGCGGCCAATCAACTGCTGTAACAGCACAACCAGCATTAGTTTCGTTTTGGTATCTCATAGGGGCGGAGAGATATGATAAACCCAGATCAATGATGGAATTAGAAGCCACCTCGTTAATGCAGAGTCCAAAAACGCTATTGCAGAACACATCAAGGGATGAAGCAGGTATAGGGCAAGTAATTGAAGTGGATTTAACCGGAGATAGCATCGAGGACAGGGAATACAGTCCGGAAGTTAGTGTCGTCACACCTAAAGAAACCAAGAAGGTAGGTCACAGATCTCGGAAAAACGAATATCAACTGACGGAGCAACTAGATGCGGTGAATGGCCCACTATCTCTCACGAAATTATTCGACAAAAGTCTGCTTGCGGAACTAGTAACAGAAGATATTTGGATGGATCGCCTAAGGAGAGGGTGGAGCCTAATGACAGGAAAAGATTTGAACTAATGGGGCCCTAAACTAATCTTCTGTGGCACCAGATGTCAGTGGTGGACGACTGTGTTCTGGTGGACAACCGATTAGCCGTACCGGACAAGCTGAGACAAGCTGTGCTTCGTCGACTTCATCAAGGACATCTCGGCCAGGAGGCAATGTTAGAGGTGTCCAACTATTTATGGTGGCCACACATGCACAGAGACATAGTCAACATGGCCGAAGAGTGTAGGAGTTGCACTCGTTATGGTGAGAACGCTAAATATATAATTCCAAAAAATTCGGCTAAACCACTTCCAATGTTGACGCAGCCAGGGCAAGAATTGCAATTAGACTATGCGGCCCACTTGAAGACCATAAGGGGAAGAAGATATTTTTATTAGTTGCTATTGATAAAATCTCTAAGTCTCGTCAGTTAAAGTCACGAAATCTACTGGGCGAAAATCAACAATAAACTTTCTTCGTACCTATATTGACACACATGGGATACCGGAGTCGATTAAAACGGATCAGTTTTCCGGGTTTAAAGGAAAAGCGAGGCAAAAATTCTGCACAGAAAATCATATTACACAAAAATTCTGTTCGGTTGGTGATCATCGAGGATGTGACTTGGTTTAGCGAACAATACAGACCGTTAAACGAAGGTTGGGTGTTATGCTGCTCGATGAAAACGTACAATCGATTAAACTTTGCTTAAGTACAATTATTAGGGGATTAAGATGGAATAAA